TAAGAGACTTAACTAGGTAGCGGAAACACAAAGCTGTTTAATTAAGTGATTAAAGTGATCCCTTTGATGTAATACATGCAAGACATTTGAGAATTTACCTGACTCTCCTCAACAGCCAAGTCAGTGGGGATTAAAACAAATGAGTTTTTGGGGCACTTGGGTGGCTCAGTGGGTTAAGGCCTCTGCCTTTGGCTCAGGTCATGATCCCAGGGTCCTGGGATTGAGCCCCGCATGGGGCTCTCTGCTCAGGGGGAAACCTGCTTCCCTTCCTCTCTCTCTGCCTGACTCTCTGTCTTGTGATCTCTGTCTGTCAAATAAATAAATGAAAATCTTTTAAAAAAGGAGTTTTCCATCTTGCTTTTCGCCAATCAGCTTAATACTAAGTGGCTTTGAAAATTCTGGAGTAAAGCCATCATCATAACCAGTCTTTAAATCACTTTGGTCATCTGTGTAAAAATTAGACACGGTTTCATCGTCACAGCCAAATAAAGCAGAATTATGTTCGGTTCCGTGCTTGCCACTGGCCCTTTCAAGTTGTAGTGTACCTTGTAGAAAGTTCTGGGGAGGAGGGGTGACTTGAGTGTTTAAATCACATTGTGTTTTACACTTCCGATGTTCCTTGTTTTTCAGAGTTCGTTTGTGGCGATTATTCTTTCTCTCTGTCAATGTAATAATCCTCACTTTATGAACTCTCTGTTGTCTCCATAGAATTAATTGTAATTTTTTAGAGCTCTAGCCCTAAGACTTTAGAGCAAGGAATAAACTCCTAAGTGATTAAAATTAGTTGTATGTACATGTTAGTAATAGCAAGGAGCAAGATGAAAACACAAAGTAGCTAAAAATGCAAGCACATGCACATACAGGCCCACTGCCCTCCACTGTTCCGCATAAATCAGTTTGGCAAGCATCGTTGAGCACTTACTGTGTACTAGGCCCTGTGCCACTGATTGAGGCAACTCAATGAACAATCTACTCTCACTGAATAATGTACATCAGCGCAGCCAACTATGGCTCTTGGGCTGTATTTGGCATGCTGTTTACTTTTGTATGGCCCATGGCTAAGAATGGATTTAACATTTTTAAATGGTTTAAAGAAATCAAAAGAAGAATGTATCATGATACATAAAAGACATTTGAGATTCAAATGTTAGTGTCCATAAATAAAGTTTTATTGGAACACAGACACAGCCGTTCATTTATGTGTTATCTACAGCTGCTTTCCTAGGTATAGCAGCAGAATTAGATAGTTGGATTAAAGACCATATATATGGCTGGCAAAACTGAGAATATTTACTAAGTGGCCCTTTATAGAAAATGTTTGCTCACCCTTGATTTAGGTGATACAACTTTTCCTTTCTGAGTTCCTTTATTATTCCAGTACTTCTTTCAACTCTCTCTTTCATTATATTTATAGTAGAACTAAATTTTTAAAAAATTTTATTTATTTATTTGACAGAGAGAGAGAGAGAGAGAGAATCAGCAGGCGGGAGGAGCAAGGGGAGAGGGAAAAGTAGGCCCCCAGCTGAGTAGGGAGCCCAACCTGGGGGCTCCGTCCCAGGACCCCGAGATCATGACTGGAGCTGAAGGCAGATGCTTAACTGACCAAGCCAACCCAGGTACTCCCCAAATCTGTCCTTTTTAGAAAATGGATTTCTGTAAGGGGAACAGGGAATTTGTTATGTGCCATTGGCCAGAATCTCCTTCCATAGCCAGTCCTAGCTGGAAAGGATGCTGGGTGAGGTGGCTATTTTTTGTTTGCTCCATTGTCACCCTGAGCAGAATATGGGTCTGATACTAAGAGAAGGAAAGGAGAATGGATATTGGGTAGACAGTAGGCCATATTTGCTTCAGAAAATAAGTACTTTGCCCAAGGTCACAGAGTTACTGAAGATTAGCAGTGGCTCGAGTCTCTTCTCTTGAGGAAGGAGGCTTGGTTGTGATGTGCAGTCCCTTTCCAGAAGTTTGTGTGAATAAGGGATGGAAATGCCTGCAGTGGTTACAGAAAACTGGGGAGCTTTTGATCAGCCACAAGCAGCCCCGGAAATACTGCTTGCAGAACATGATATGCAGTCCCTTCTCTGTTTATACCACTCTTCTCTCAGTATTTGCCCTGGGACTTGCCTTTCCTTCTTGTCCATGTAACCAACCCAGGGGGTAATTAATTGCAGACTTCCCACCAATACTTTAACCATTCAGCAAGCCATCGGACTGTTGGAGCTTTGTTCATCTCATTCTTGAGAGGTTAAAAAATGATGTAATCAGGGCACCTGGGTGGCTCAGTGGGTTAAAGCCTCTGCCTTCGGCTCAGGTCATGATCCCAGGGTCCTGGGATCAAGCCCCGCAGACAGAGATTACAAATAGGCAGAGAGGCAGGCAGAGAGAGAGGGGGAAGCAGGCTTCCCGCTGAGCAGAGACCCCCCGATGCGGTTTGAGTTTGAATGGAGGCACACGTTTGGGGAAGAAGAGCGCTGTGTCCAGATGTTGGCAGTGTTTTACTAGTATCATCACCTTATTCTCTCTGCGTGTCCTTGGGAGATGAATTTAGAGATTCTTTGCATCTCTCTGCCGGCTCTGTTCGAGTCATGGTATTGCTAAATAAATAATAAAGAGGATTCAGTGACCCGCATGCACAGTGTAGAAGGTAATATATTCTGTGAAGCTGCACCGTGCAGAGGGGGTCCCAGAGCGTGAGGTCTGCAAAACAATGCATAATTCATCAGCATGCTCCAGAAAGACCAGCGTTCAGAAAACAGTGGTGGATGACTCAGCTTCTCTCTTTCTTCATTTGGGGTAACTATCGGGAGCTCTTTATTTGCTCTAGGTTATGTTTGTGACTTGTGGTGAGCTCATAAAAGACACTGAGGAACTAAGTGCAATGAGGGAAATGAAACAGTGGGCTTGAAACCAGGTAACTTATAGACATAGGAGGTATTGTTTGGTGTTGGGGGAGAGTCCTAACGGCTAGCTATCTGCTCTCGGGGTCACCTCAGGCTTTCAGTGTCACTCACAGGGTTTTTTTTTTGTTTTTTTTTTTTTTTTTTGTTTTGTTTTTACGCACAGGGTTTCAAAGGCAGGATTGGATCTGTGCTATATTTGAGTCTGCAACAGCAAAACCCATTATGACTGGGTCGTGCGGCACTTGTAAAATCCTCTCTGAGTCTTGAGTTTCAGGTTTCTGGTGATATTTAATGTTTGAATTATCTCAAGGAAGATAAGAAAACATACTATCTTATTCCATTTACTTGTTGGGTGAGGAAAATGGAAAGGGACTGAAGGAAAGAACTCAGCGAGAGCAATGTGCAGAGGTCCCTGGTTTGCTGTGCTGGAATAAAATCGACGTGTTTGGGGTTGCCTGGTGTCTTCCGCTGGGTCTTCTGGAGGCCAAGCTGGAGATGGAGCTGCGCGTGCAGGTGGCTTAGGAGTCATGCAGCAAGTGTTCCCAAGAGAGAGCAGCAAGGCGATGGGGGAGGCCAGCCAGGGTGTGACTTCAGGGGGAGTCTCAGACAGCCTGACCGTTCAGCGGACCTCTGGAGGGCAAGTTAGACCTCACAGTTTGTCCCTAATGGAGGCAAAGGAGCAGAGCTTCAGGACTCCTGCCACATCCCGTCTTTGGCTGAAGGCTGCTGGGGTGGGTCGGGGTCAGGGTGGGTTCCCAAGGCAGATCAACTCCCAGGAACTGTTTTGTGTGGTCACGGGTACCAGTAGCCCTACGGCAGGCCTGCTAGGAGTCTGAAGTGCTGGCCGTTTGAGAAGAAAAAGAACATTAGATACTGGAGGGGGCTGTACAGAAGCAATACGAGGGATCCCTGGCACGGAGGGCGGGAGTGGAGGTCTGGGCAGGTCCTCCTTACCAGGTACTTACTCTTGGACTAAGCCACTCTTCTGTTTTTGTGCAACCCAGAATCCAGGGAGAGAAAAGAGACATATTTTTATGTGGAACTGTAAAGTTTCTCCAGAGCCAGAGTTGGCAAACCTTTTCTCTAAAGGGCCAGGTAGTAAATGTTGGAGGTTTTGTGGGCTGCGGGGTTTCTGTTCCGACTACTCAACTCACCGCTGGTAGTGCGAAAGCCGCCACAGATTACATGTGAAGGAGGGGTTTTGGCTGTGTTCTGATACAAGTTTATAGAGCCGGAGGTGGGGGGCGGGGTAGAGGGGGACGGTAGATGGGGCCCAGGGGCCATAGCTGGCCAGTCCCCACTGTGCAGAGCTCCCTGCATGTGCCTCAGGTGAGGTTTCCTTCCCACATTCCCTTTATGCTACAGAACACAGGGAGTCAGTTACTCTATCAAAAGGCTGGTTATGGCAGGTCTTAAGTTAGTCTGGACCCCCTACTTGCAATCTTTTCTGGCATTCCAGCCATCATTCTCAGTGTGGCGTGATAATCTTGCTGAAAGGTGACTCATCGCATTTTACTCCTTCTCTCCTATCTGTAAAAGAAAATAACAGACTCTTTGCCTGGCATTCGGGAATCCCTATAAACTGGCCCCAACCAGTTTTCCTCTCTATGTCTCCCTACCTCATCTCCTCCTCTCCCCTCCTGGTGCTTTCTAGCCCAGCTACAACAAAGCTCCTGCCCCTCTCTGTGCAGTGACCTTCCTTTCCAGCTCCCTGTCTTTGTCCTTGTGTCCTCCTGCAGTGTCCTTCCTCTCACCTCTGCGTTTTGAAATCCCACCCATTCTCGAAGTCTCAGTTTGGTCATCTACGTTAAGCATTTTCCTCATGAGGAATTAGTTTCTCTGCAGGAATTTGATAACAATACTGTGTTTCTTTTGAAACTTTTACTTTGTTTATTTTTACTATGTGTTTGTGCATCCACTGTATGGTCAGTATATTGAGGGCAGGGACTAAATTACATTTTTTTTTTGCATATCATAGTGGGTTGCATTTACTAGACACTCAGTAACGAGAGTTTTCAGATGAACATCGCGTCCTACATTGTGTGATTATTAATGATTTAAGTGCTGAAACTCTGACCTCATTTTTCTTTTTCCTTCTTATAGGCAAGAGCTGTTTTGGCAAAAGTTGGCTATCCTGAGTTTATAATGAATGACACTTATGTTAATGAAGACCTGAAGGCAGTAAGTGCTAAATATACTGTATTTTTGTTTTTTGGCAACTTTTACTGGCCTCATGCCTTTCAGCTAACCCAAGCCCAAGCACTTAGACTGGGTAGTGCCAGAAAGCACCAACTTTTGATTCATCCCTTGGCTACATATGAGCTTCGATATGCCAGGCGAATCACAAGATTTAGCACAGATTCAAAATAAAGGAAGTGTCAGAAAGAATGCATAGCTGAGTGGGTACCATAAAGCACACAGACCTGGATTAGGTCTGATTTGACCATAGAGGAAAGAATTAAGCAAATTGAATATTTTATAATTAGTGGGCATGTTCTAATGCAAAACGCACGATGTTTGTTGTCAAACATTCTTCATGTGCTTCATTCATACTAAATGACTAGTAGTAAATCTGTCTGCTGGGAGTTAACTTCATTAAACTTTGAGTGTTTTGGCAGATTAAGTGCATATACATAGGACCCTCTAATTTATTGTGAGTTGGACTGTATATTTGCAGTATGTTACTGATGGAGGAATAGTAATAATTCTTTTGTATTCTGATATTTTGGGACATGTATTTTCCAGTAGATTCATTCATTATAGGCCTTTCTAATCACAACCACTGTTTATTTCCTTTCCTACAGATAGTACTGATAAAGAACTTCTCTTCCTCACAAACCCCGTTTTTACCATTCACTACGTTTTCTTGAAAAAGTAGTTTTTTAGAGTTTAATAAGTAAGGTTCTGAGATGTAGGTCTTTCCTGAAATGGTGGTTTGACAAGTCACATAACTAAAAGCAGTCCTAGATTTGTAGATGAACATCCAAATTTTATAAGATTATTCAAAAGTGAGAGAAGTTTTCATTATAAAGTTTCTCCATTGGTCCAAGATATGGCCTTTGAAGGATTGCTCCAACTGCCCGGGAGGAAGATAACACACTCCAGCCCATCTCATGCATTGTTTTGTTGCTGAAAAATCTCAGTATTATTATGATAATTAAAAATACTGATGCACTTGACACATACGTACATTATATTGTAACCTCCACAGTAATCCTGTGAAGTAGATGGTGTTTATCTCCATTTTGCCAAAAAGGACGTAGAGACTCAAAAATGTTAAGTGGTTTCCTCAGTGTCCTACATAGTGTCAGAGCCAGGACTGAAATCCGGGCCCCGAAAGCTCTGCCTCTAATCAGAGCAGGGGTTCTGCAAGGTCCTTCTCAGGCCCCTGCCCCGGAAGAAGAGTAGTGTGTTTGAGGAATTGGTGGGAGCTGCCTTTCCAGAGCTGGTTGGAAGGGAAGAAAAGAGGGGAGGTCAAATCGTTAAGTGGTTAAGAGCACAGGCCTCGGAGTGCTTCTGCCTTTTCCATTTACTAGTTGTTTGTGCTTATGCAGGTTCAGTTAGCTTGCCTTCCTGGGGGTATCCCAAAACCAGCCCCTGAAGAGGCAGGCCCTTCCAGGTTGGTAGGTGGTGGGTTTCACAAGCCAAGGCAGTGTACATACAAGGGCAGCAAGATGAGTGGATCCCCACACCTGCCTGCCAGATTTTAAAAGTTTATATAGAGGCCCTAACTAGGTTCAGTCATGTACACTGTGCAGATGTTCCCCACACCGCATCCCATTCTCAAGGCTGTGTCCTCTGAGCAGCCCCTGGGAGCAGGAAAGGCAAGCAGAAGCCACATTCCTGGGAATAGGGTGGTGGGAAGCCTCTGACTGCCCAGGTCCATCTCACAGGTCAAGTTGTAGTCAAATGTTCGATGACCTTCTCCAACCCTCGATACAGGAAATAATAATAACCAAGTCTTGGTATTGTCAGGAGGATGAAATGAGAGTATATAATTATGAAAGTGCCTAACATAATGCTTTGGTGCATAAGTAGTTTCCTTTTAAGTGCTCACTGGTACTTGGGGGATCAGTATCTGAACAGTTGCTGCTGAGAAGACCATCACTGGGGCACAAAACACCTTCAAAGGAAAGCCTGGATGAGACTGGCAATTACCCTAAGTTAAGGATGTGGATGAAAAGGTGTGAGAAGCATTTCGGTGTAGTGGTTATGAAACGGACTCTGGGATCAGGGTGCCTGAAGTTAGATCCCCTGTCTGCCATTTACGAGCCATGTGACCCAGGGTAGATTATATAGAGTCACTGGGTCTCAGATTTCTCATATCAGAATGGAATTGAGAATAATAACCTCTCCCTTATAGGGCTGCTGAGATCAGAGAAGTTAACATATTTGGCATTTTGGAAAACGGACCCAGGCATGCAGTAAGCATAGTCTACTTGTTAGTTATAACATCTTCAATTTGTATGTAAGACATTATTTTGGTGAGGAAAAGTCATTATGAAATGACCCGTGCAGGACCCAGGTTACTCAAATTGATTTAAAAAGCTATACGGCTGGAACCATCTCAAGCTTTAATCAAGTAAGATAGCGTTCAGGGCTCACTCACAATCTCAGCTGATCAGGTTTTGTTGCCAGTCTGTTCTTGTCTGAAGCGAGTGCCCGAAAGTGTGAGTACTCGCCGAATGTGGCATCTTTTGTGAAAAGAAACCAGATGCCAGACAGGCTGCAGTATTAGGTAGGTTTCCTTGTTTCTCCAGGGTCTGAACTGAAGCCATTGCACACCAAGATTTTTAAGCACTTTAGTCAAGAAACAGCTTTTGTCTGACTCATACCCAGAGTAGACACAGTTGCACCCAGGAGTTTCTGACAGTTAAAAACAACAACAACAACAAAAAAAAACAGACGGTGAAAAAACATCCAAATACTGAAATCAAAATACATTTGTGTTCAGAAATGGATAGAAAAAAATGAATAAAACCCAACCTGAATATAGGTAAAGGATGCTTGGTGTGATAGACCGTAATAGTGTCGCCAAGGTGAATAGCAGTAGGGCTAGAGTATTACTGGGGTATAATAAGGCTGTGTTTTCAGTTTTGAGAAACACGTAGATAAGGACTACTATAGGGTCTGTGAGAAATTTCTGGTAGTACAAGTTCTGAGCACAAGAGGCTGTTAGAAATGAAAAACAGCTTACTTTATTTGACGCAAGCAAAGATATGCTTCATCGGGCAGAAAGGCGAAAGAGGATAGAGATTAAGTAACGGATCAGATGAAGGTCAAGGAGAAAGGCGGAAGACTGAACTTGGGCTCATGTGGAGATAAGAGCAAATGGAAAAGAACTTGGAGGCAAATGTAAAGAATTCAGAAAAAACATTTCCTCTCTCTGAGATTGACAGGGTAAACCGAGATACCCCGCCGAGTATTTCTGAACAACAATCTTACTTTAGTCTTTGAAAAGAGCAAGAAGAGAGGAGATGCCCTTTGTGTGAACTCCTGGTAGCATGCAGGGAAAACCTACTGGTTAGCTTTAAATACGTAGGCATCAGTCCATTTTCAAATTAGGCTTACAAAGGGTTCCTTCATTGATCCTTCATGAAAATGGACTCAAGAGCAAGTTGATGCCAGTTGGGGAAAGTTGCTGTATTAGTCAGGAAAACCAGAACCACACTAGGTATTTCAAAGAGAGGAGATTTCATAGGAAGAGGGGCTGAAGATTCTTCCAGAATCATTGTCAGAAGAAAGAGGAGAGAGAATGAAAGATGACAGACACAGCATTCTCTCCCTTCCTGCCACCTGCTGATTTCACCCAGTGCCTGCTGTTGGCAGGAAGCCAACTGGCACTCCAGAAATAAAGTTTTCAGATTCCCTGCCCCATCGTTCTAGAACAGAGTAAAAGGCTAGGCATGTAGCTGAGAAAGACAGTAGGTAAGTAACTGGCCCTGCTAGGTATTTCACTCATTCTTGTGAAAGCCAGTGGAGAACTGGACTACGGGCTAAAGTCAGAGTTCCAGCTGGCCTCTATTTACTTAGGAGCATTGGATCTCGGTACTTCTTCAGAGAAGGTCAGTGTTTCTGGTGAGTGATAATCACACACATACATAAGCATATCAGTATGCGTATAGAGATATACAGATGTGTGAACCTGCATAATATTCTCTGGGGTGGGTCCTGGTCTGCTGTAGCCGGTGGAGTGTGTGTGTGTGTGTGTGTACACCAGTGACAGAGAGTGCTACTGCCACTGTCCAAGAGTGAGGTGAGATTTAGGTGACATGCTCCAGAGAAACAGGTTGCTAAAATATTGAAGTAATTCTGTACAATAGGTAAAGAAACAAAATCAAACATGGTCCTAAGTTTGACCAAGTCATCTCTGGCCACTATGGCCCAGAAGAGCCAAGAGTGGGCACTGGAGGGGAGTGCCCTGGTGCTTACCAGCCTTCCAGCCAGTCTCCTGTAACTCCCACATGCTGGCCTCCATCTTGTTTGTTCCCTCCCCAAGAGCAGACCTAGTCATCCCCTGCCCCCCCGTGGTGGCTACGGGGTACCTGGTTCCTTGGTGGTGTGCTAGCTGGCACTCCTCAGAGTCACCCTTAGGTGGCTGCTTATGGGAACTGCATCGTCCACAGTGTATCATCTATGTAAGTTGTTAAACAGTTTGGACATCGTCTCTGTGTAGGTATGTATGTATGTACACACACAGAGTACTTAAGGACCAAGCTGTCTAAATGCAGCAATTCTGAATATTACATTGCTATAAATTAGGGAAAACATAAATATAAAATCTGAATTCCATCAAGTTTTTAGAAAATTCTGTGAGTGCCTAACAAAATCCTTCTTATGGACACTCGGATAGATCTCTGAGTATCTTTAAATAGATTTAACTTAAAAAGTATTCTAGAATCTCTTTGTCCTATTCGCTAATGTAGTATCTTATCAACATGTACTTATTCTACTGAGAAAAGCTGCAAGCATTTGCTTTTTTTGCCCTTACGACACATTCCTCACCTTTGAGGGGTCGTAAAAGCTTTATCCCTTTATACCTTTAGTCTGTGACACTTGGTACTTCATATCCTGGATAGGATTTCCAGGAGGGGAAATTCAGATTCCCCTGAATTTTAGGATCTGGACGACTATTCCTAGGATATGACAACAAGAGCCCCAATGAGTTTCCCAGAGATCACCCAGTTGAAAAGTCAGGAGATGTAAGTGATTGAAAGTCATTATCAACTTGACCTAC